TTTCTTTCACTTCCCGTATCTCTCTTTCTTGTAACCCTTTGCCCTCCCTCTAAGATTTTTTTTTTTTTTTTAAATTTGAGCAACCTTTCTCTCCCCTCCACCCTCTTGACGCCTCTTGAATCCCACCTTTCACTTTATACTTCATGGAAAAACCCCACTGAAATCTGTCACGGCCAATTACTTGTTGCCAATCATTGACTCACCCTAATCACGGCTTTGCCACATGCTTAATGTGTCTTGGAAAAATAAGGAAGAAAGAACATTGACCTTGTTTGCAGTCAAAGTATTGCGCCAAATTTAGACCAGTGCTGAGGAAATATAACGTTATCCGGTGCACATGAAAAGTGAGTTGTATTGATTAGTATTCCAAGGTCTCTTAAAAAAAAACAACAAAAAAACAAAAAAAACAAGTCATATATATATATATTTCAAAATATTAGGAGAGAGTAGAAGCGTTTGCACTGGTGCTGCGTAGTGCTGCATATTAATGTATATTGCTGTAGAATGCTGCATATTGCTGCATACTGTTGTGTATTGCTGCAAATTGCTTCACATTGCGTAACATGGCAGCGTATTCCTGAATATTGCTGCCTATTGCTACATATTGCTGCATATTACTTAATATTGCTGCATATTGCTGCATATTGCTGCGTAATGCTGCATAATGCTGCATAAAATGATTCGCATTGCTACATTTTGCAGCAAATTGCTGCGTATTGCTGGATATGGCTATGTATTGTTGCATATTGCTGCATATTGCTGCATATTGCTGCAAATTACTGTATATTGATTCATACTTCAGAATATTGCTGCATGTTCATGCATATTGCTGTATATTGTTGCATATTGAGGCGTTTTGCTGCATGGTGCTGTTTATTGCTGTATATTTGTTGATAAGTTACTAATAGAAGAACTGCGTTCAAGATATTTGAAGGAAATAGTAGAACAAGGTACGTGGAACCTTGAAATATAAAGACCTGACAATGAAGAACGTTTTTATTTGTTGTTGTTGTTTTGTGTGGCTAAGACAAATAATTGAACTAACATGAAATAAAAACTAGTTAAAATAAAAAAAAAACTGAAGTGTTCACCATTAATTTTATTGCCGGAAGTTTGATTTCTAAATTTGCTTTTCGCCTTTCTTCTTCAAGCACACCATTCGCTATTTCAAGTTGCATGGTTAAGTTAATGAGCATGAGAGTTTCTCGAGCGGGATCCCCTTGGAGAGGCTGGTCCGGTGG